GGCCAGGAACCAGAAGAGTACTCAGTCACCTCTCCCCCAGGTTTCCTACCAGCTCTCCAAATTTCTTGCACCAAATCCTCCTATGGGTCCTATCCTGTGGTTTAATACTGGAATCGTATAGCACTGTACAACTTTCTCTGCCTTCCTTGAGAAATAAAAACCAGCCTGACCATCAGCTCTTTCCAGTGCATGGACAGACTGTGGACAGACATCAGCTGGGACTTCTCCAGCACTTCTTCAGCTTGTCAGTACCACTTCACCGTGGGACCTTACACACATGCAGTCCATCAGATATGCCTTTGGGATCCTGAAGGCTGTAGATGAACAGAACATACCTGGGCGTTCCAAACTTGTGATGGCAGTGCCAATATCTCCTGTCTGTGGGTATCAGCAGTGAATCACACAGAATATTTTAGATTGGAAAAGACCTGGTCCGACCAGGTCCAGTCAAGTCCCACCTTTAACCTAGTACTGTCTGTTCCACCACTAAACTGTGCCACATCTGCACATCTTTCAAATACTTCCAGGATCCCTTCAGGGAGTCAACCCTTGGTGACTCCACCAGTTCCCAGGCAGTGTATGCCAATGCTTGGCAACCCTTTCAGTGAAGAGTTTTTTCCTAATAGCCAATCTAAACCTCCCCTGGTGCAGATCAAGGCCTCGATGTTCTGTAACTTATTACCTGGCAGGAGACTGACTCCCAGCTGGCTACACCCTCCTTTCAGGCAGTTCTAGAGAGTGATAAGGTCATCCCTGAGCCTCCCTTTCTCCAGGCTAAACAATTCCACCTCTCTCAGATTCTCCTCATCAAAATTGTGCTCCAGACCCTTCCTCAGTCCATTGCCCTTCTCTGGACTTGCTCCAGCTCCTCAATGTCCTTCTTGTAGTGAGGGCCCCAGGACTGAGCACAGGATTTGAATACTCACCAGTGGCTCACAGAGGGGGAGGATCACTGCCCTGCTCCTGCTGGCCAGTATTGCTGATACTGGCCAGGATGCCATTGGCCTTCTTGGCCACCTGGGCACACTTTGGCTCATGTTCAGCTGACTGTTAACCAGCACCCCCAGGGCCTTTTCCAGTGTTCAGCTTTCCAGCCACTCTTCCCCCAACCTCTGGTGTTGCACAGGGTTGTTGTGATCCAAGGGCAGAACTCAGCATAGTGAACATGATTGTTGTGTGCAATAGCAGATTCCATTCCACAGCCATGCAAACTGGGTTAAGGAGTCTGTTCATAATGTTAGTCTCTAATCTCGGCAAACATGGGCTTCACAGTAAGCCTATGCCTCTGGGCTCCTGGGCTCATAATCTCTATGGACATGCAGATAACACTGAAGAAACAACATTCATTTGTTGTGGTAAGAGCAGAAAAGACATGAGGAAGGGTGAAATACCAGCATTTAAACAGATTAGGATTTCTGATAGCCTGAGGTTACTGTGCTTAGTTTAAGAGAGCAGAATATCTGTTGCTCCCTCCAGGCAGGTCATGGGCCAGAGCAAGGAGAGGCTACCATTCCTGCTGCCGTGTGCCAAGCTGAAGCTCCCATGTAGCTTTGTGATGTGGCAGCTTTGCTTTTACCCATGCCTCAAATTCACCACTGGCTCAGGGCGTCCAGAAGCCTGGAAACAGCGCCACATTCCTGCAGTAAGGCCTCACAGGCTGGCGATCCACTCCAGTGAGTTCAGGCAGTTCATTGATGGTCTTAGTGCTTCTCAGCTGAGTAGAGGTCTGACAGCCCTGCAGCCAGGAGCCTGCCTTGGGGCAGTCTGACCTCCATCCAGTATACCACAGCTCAAATTGAAGATCTTTGCCATAGTTGCTGACAGATGACACTTGCAATGGGACAGACTTTACTTGCAGAGTCTCCTGCAGAGCTCATGGTGTGGTATTGACTGACACCATCAAGCAGATAGGTATTCATTCCTTCAGAAACATAAAAGTTCAACTTTTTTCTTTCATTATGGTAGCAAGGATGCATGGACCTCTTTCTCCTGGGAAACAAGTTAATTTGGACACATGACAGATGTACTGTGCCTCCACACCCTGCCTGGTGGGGCACAGAAGGGTTCTCTTTTCATCACCAGGCTGTAGCTGTTTTCTCGTTCAGCATTGTCTGGTGATAGCTGTGAAGTTCATCCCAGCTCATGAGGTGGTGACAGACATATCCATGAGACTTGTTTTTGTTGGATGGAAATAGTCAGTGTAGACTGATCAGTCCCTTTGCCCTCTCTTTATCCTTCTCTTCCATAACTTACCTTTGAGAACCGTACACAGTATCAGTCTGTACCCCACGATGCCCAGTGAGATGCTTCAGGAGTTCCATCACATAAATCTGTGGCTGACTCTTGGCTGTGAAGTGCAGACCCCTTCAGAGTTTTCCCTTGAATTGGATCTGTTATGGATAGACAGGGGAACATGCAAGGATCTGTCCTGAAGATGTGGAAGCTGCCTTTTTCACCTTTTGCCCTGTATTTCTTCTGATGTTTTCTGCTTTCAGAATCCTCGTGACAAGTGAAATCCTTTCCAACACCCGCCCTGAGTGTGGTATGTTTCTTGTTGAGGACATGTTACAGTTAACCACACACTACTTGGCTTTGCAATAAGATTCTCTTGCCTGGTGCTGGCCTGGAGACCATCTGTTCCTACTAGCAATGGCTCTGGCATAGGGCTGGGAGACAGGGTGGAAGTGGTTTGACCTTGATTATACCATATAGAATGGACAGCCCTTCCTCAGCTTTCTACACAGCTACAAAGAACAATTTCTTGACATTTTTACTGCATGGCATAATTCTTAGCTGGGCCTGATTCAAACTCTCTCATTCAGTTTGAACTCTCTCATTTGGGCCACATGGAAACCAGCAAGAATCACAGACAAAATGTTTTGACCTCACAGGAATTACATCTACAGTTACCCACAAGGAAGGAAAAATGGTCTGTGATGTCTCAGGGCAGATCTCATCTATCATCCTGGAAAGTTTCAAATTGGATCTGCTCGAACAAATATTTACAGTATACATTAGGAAAGATAAAACCTTTTCTAGATCAAGTAGAGCTCTGGCTGAATGCCCAGCCTTGCTGCCAAACAGCTGGCCTTGCTGTTGGACAAAGAGTAGGAAGAGGCAGTCTGTTTTTCTGGAAGAATCTGTACAGAGGCTAACAAAGATAAGGGGCCTTGTCCCTGGAAATGAAAATTACCTGTAGTCTTCACGAGTATCCATTCCAAATCCTTACTGGAGAACCTTTCAGAAAACTGATTTACTTAAAATGAAAGCCCATTCAAAGGCTGTTGTTTAAAATCCCTTTGGAGACGTGTGTTCCTAGGCTGAAAAATACGGTGTTATGGAAAGCAGTCTCTATAAACAATAGAGCCATGCTTTTCCCCTATATCTTATGCTACAGTCACCTACTTTAGAACATATTTAAGTTGAAAACAGCTAATAAATGTAGAACTCAGCTTTTCTGGTCAGTACCAGCATTTCCCTTTCTGCTCCTTCTGTAAACAGTGCTTTGCAAAAATTCACCAGCACAAACACAAACAATTCTATGATAAAGAGTTTCAATATTATTAAAAGAAAAACCAAAAACCCCAGAAAAAGCCCAGCCAAAAAAACCCCAAAATGTTTAAAAACCCCACCCCAAAATAAAACTTTGCTCTGAGTAGGCAATCTTTTCTCCACAGGAAACTCTCCAGGACCCCCTCTGATTATCAGTTCATGAGATAGTCCATAAATTCACTGTGTGTGAAACAATGTTACATGAATAAATAATTTAATGGACTTTTTTCCCCCTGATGTTGTTTATTGTTTGTTTGTTTTAACTGAAGGCGTTTAGTGAAAATCTGAGGCAAGAATGGACTAAATATACCAGAAGCCGGGATGGAGCTGATATATTTAGAATTTTGCTCTCAGAATTTTGCATTTCCAAGTGGTGTCAGCTCTGGAGGTTGAGGACCCAGGGCCTCTTGCTGGTTGCTGTCCATGTCTGAACCCAGTCAAGGGTAGATTCGAACTGTGTCCCCATGCATGCGTGGGCTGGTGCCTCCAAGTGCCAGTGACTGAGATCCAGGGGCAGCTACTGGGCAGACTGGGTGCCTGAGCCCAGCTGCTGGACTTTATACATTTGTATTGACATATTTCCCAGAAACGGACAAAAAACTTCCAAGCCCAAACAAAAGTTGTAAGCCTCTGAAAGGTTGAACTAAAAAATGCTCTGGGTGGGTTTTCATTTTTCCTGGCATCCTTGGCTGCTGCCGTGACACCAAAGGAGGGTCTATGCACTAAGTGCTGGCAAGGTCTAGCTATCAGTAACTCTGTAGAGAATGGTGCCTCTTACTGAAGGCTGCCATGCTGGGGGCTGGAGGGGAAAGAGGATCATGAGCACGAAGTTTAGCACTCCTTGTTGTTCTACATGTTGTGCAAAACAGACACAGATGGCTGGTGCAGACGTCTGCTGGTAATTTTTTCATGCTTGTTTGGGGGTACATTCTTGTCTGCTTCCAGGGTCCCTGAGCTGGAGGAGAGGACTGTCTTTGAATTTGCTGCTGTGAGTAACAATTTCTGCTCTAGGCAGTGCTTAGAGGGGACTGGAAACTATGATGCAATAGGTACCCAGTGAGCCCACATCTGTGCAGTGCCGCAATAAGACAATTGAGAAGAGTGTTAGACTGGATTTTATATGTTAAAAAATGTTAGATAATCATTTCATGTTTCTAATTAGCCTAGTGTTAATGAAGACACAAAGTGGCAAAAGATGACAGTATTACTCGATGAAAAATAAAGCACGGCTTGTCATTGGCAGTGTTACTAGCAATTTATCTTTTTGATCTGATGCAGAAACAAGAACATGCAAGAAGATCTCTGAGGTTTAGCCACAGTAGCAGATGGGGTTGCATCTGCAAAGGAGATTGTTTTGTCTGCTTTGAATTGAAATTAAAAGCTGTTGCAATGACAATTCATCTAGTATGAAGAATTAGGAAACAAAGTACAATTACTTTGGGGTTTTTTACTTTTAATAGTAACCATTTAAAGAGTAGTAATTACAGCATATTATTCATTGAAGTCTGGAATGTCTACATTGCATGGCAATTTCATTTTAGGAAAACCACTTAAAGTTATTGACAAAAGACTTTTCCTACAAATGCCATGTTAGCGTTTTATTTTGAACTTTTATAAATTCAGATGTTTTATTTGGCTTGCACAACAAGGTTTTGGTAATAGAGGGGCTACAGGGGTGGCTTTTGTGAGAAGCTGCCAGAAGCTTCTCCCGTGTCCAGCAGAACCAATGCCAGCCAGCTCCAATACAGACCTGTCGCTGGCCAAGGCAGAACCCAGCAGTGATGGTGGTGGCATTGCTGGGATAACAGCTAAAAAGGAGCAAAAAAACCTGCAAGTGGAGAGAGGAGGGAGAGGAGCAGCTATGCAGACACCAAGGCATGCAAGGAAGGAGGGGTGGGGGGTGCTCCAGGTGCCAGAGCTGAGATTCCCTCGCAGCCATGGGGAGGCAGCTGTGCCCCCACAGCCCATGGAAGTCTGTAATGGAGCAGAGATCCACCTGCAGCCCAAGGAGGACTCCACACTAGAGCAGTGTTCCCTTTTTGCTTATGAAAATAGCGCTTTTCTTCTTGGTCATTTAGCTTTCTATTCATTACATTATACTGCTGTATGCTGTCTGCATAGCTACTCATATTTTATAAACTACTCTTCCTAGTATTACTTTATTCTATCAACAGTTATCATATACTGCACTGTTTCAGACTAAATATTATGTTTAATCTAATACTCTTTATTTCTGAGGCCTAGTAAAATCTGCAAGGATTATTTGAAGTGTAAAAAGGACTATTTTCCTCTCTGGTTACTGATTTCAGTATATCCTGATGACTGTCCTTTAACACTTGAGCACTTTCACAGTACTATTTTCAATTCAGTTCTCCTGTTCCATCCTGATGGTGATACCATCACCATTTTTCAAAGAGACAGGCAGAGAATGAAAGAGGAAACATACTTGCCTTTGAAAAACATTAAAATCCTACAAATCTACACTATTGCACTGGGCTGCTTTGTCACAGGGCTTCCTTGCACATTAGCAGGACCCTGGCTCTGCACAGTGTGTGCTTCTTGGTCTTCTGCAGCAAAAACAACAAGTGGAGTGGGGGCAAAAGTGGAAGCCTCTTGGACTGTTCACCAACAGACTAATATGGATTAAAAATGTTAGATTCCAGCCCTATGAAGCAGCCAGCAGGACACAAATATAGCAGATACCTGAAGTAGGTTTTTCTTCCTTACACTGGACTGGTCTTTAGTGTGGACAGTGCTGCTCAATGTCTGAGCCCCCATTCCCAGATGACACAGCTGTTTCTTTTCTGGCAGAAGTCTATAAATTTGCTGTGGTTTTCCCTTTCAATAGCCCAAGAGAAATGGAGTGCTCCCTCCTAGAGCAGCTGGAACATGTGGCTTCGCTAGTGCTAGCTCTTTGTATCCAGCCACCCATGTCCTCTCAGAAACTGAACAGATATTTCCAAAACAAGAGGGAGCAGGGACAAATAACACCACTGAGACACTCCTAGCACATTTGGTAAGGCATCATCTCCAGGGAAGCATTATACCAAAGGATACCAATTGTTAGGTTTTCTTTCATCTCTGTGAACAAATAACCTATTGCTTCCACTACCCCCTTGTATACAACAATGCATCATGTATTAACTTTTATTTTTAAGTGGACATGTTAAATCAAGCAAGGGATGTAAAAAACATGTTGTTTTAAGAAGTTCGAGAGCAAGCTTCAGTTGTGCAATTCTTTCAGATGCAAACCTTGGTTAAGTCTTTGCCCTTCAATTGTCCTGCAACAGAAATTTAATTGCTTGATTACACATATTTTTGTGTGGGCACATGAGCACATAGATGGTGATAAATACGTTGCATCACTGCAAAAAGTGGTGCAATTTTAACTTGAGATCTGCTTTCCTCACGAAATGGATGTGTATATGAAAGGCTGCCCTGACAACTGCAACTGGTATTGCTAAAACTGAGGAGCATAAAACAGACTGGAACAGTCTCATACTAAAGTTATTAATATATTTCAATCACAAAAAAGATGTAAAAACTGTGTTAGGCACTCAGGATTTCCAGTCTGCTGGAAGAATTCAAGTTTGTACAAGTAATTTGTACACTATCTTCACTCCTCCAAAAGATAATATCACGGTGAATCTCAATTAAAAGAGTTGAAACAGCAGGTGCTACAGTTTTTTCAAGTGAAAAAAGCAGCAAGAGAGGAACCCAAGTGAGCAACCTATGCTTATGTTAATCTTTGATTACACTGCAAGTGTAGAACATTTCAGCTACATACTTTGTTTTACGTAACTAAGAATGTATCACTAGAGAAATTTACCTTGTGACTCTTAATAACTATGAATGAATCTCATCAAGTTCACACATGCATCTAGGTCATTCTAATCAATCTTGTTTTTACACTCCCCAAGATCTCAGCTAGGATAATAAAATTGTTGGTACAAAAGCCTTGGTCAATCTCCACAAGTTAGAGCAGGGATTACTAACAGAAAAAAAAAAGTATTCAAGCAAGACACCGCAAATCATGTTTTATTAGAAAGGGATTTGGGGGAAAGATGTATCAATCTGACTAGAAGCATCTCTATTAAAAATAGCTACATATGTACCCAATAGCAAGTATGCATGTTTTCTCCCTCTGGAATGTGCAGAACAGAGTTCATTTTCACATTACATATTCTTGAGAAAAATGTTTCAGTGTTAGATATTTTCTAACAGAAAAATCTGTCAGAGATGCTGAAAAGGAAAGGGACTACAAATGGTGGCAAATGAGTGGGATATTGTTTAAACAAAGGACAATTCTAGCATTTGACCAAGTTGATCATATGCTTTCACCAATGTACCTGGGTCTTGAAATGTGGGAATCATAGAATCGTTTAGGTTGGAAAAGACCTCAGAGTTAATTGAGTCCAACCTTTAACCCAGCACTCCCAAGTCCACTATTAAACCATCTCCCTCAGTGCCACAACTACATGCATACCTACAAGGATTGTGACTCCACCACTCCCCAGGCAGCTTGTTCCAGGACTTGACAACCCTTTCAGTGAAGAAGTTTTTCATAATAGCCAATCTAAACCTCCCCTGGCACAACATAAGGCTATTTCCCCTCATGCTATCACTGGTTACCTGGGAGAAGACATGAACTCCCACCTGGCTACAACTTCCTTTCAGGCAGTTGTAGAGAGTAGTAAAATTCCCCCTGGGCCCCCTTTTCTACAGGCTAAACAGTCCCAGCTCTTTCAGCTGCTCCTCATAAGACTTGCCCTCTAAGAACTGCCTCAAATAAAATCTGTACTTTACTTGGGGAAGGCTTTAGAAGTATAATGAGAATGTAAAATATAATCACACAAAGAACAAAACTGTCTGGCTTGGGCTTGGGATTTTTCTTATTAATCCAATTAACTAACATTTCTAAACATGCTGACATTCACAGCCCACAGACCTCAGCTTTTCCTTTTCTGTAACGAGAGAACAGGGACAAGCTATCAGACTATCACACTTGAGATCCTATCCCACTGTAGGCAAACCATAAATTAACATAACGTGGGCAAACCAACGGAACTTTTAGGCAAGATAAATATTTATTAGCATAGTAGCAGAGCAAAATCAAGACATCTGTTCAAATTTTCTGGAAACTATGATAGAAGACTACTGACTAGAGAGCTACAGCTCTTGAATATAGAGATGTAATAAACATTGACCCTTCTTTCACTGTTTAGTGTTAAAAGAACATTTGCCTTTTCAAAAAGGCAAAAAAAAAAAGAAGTGTTAGATTAGAGTCTAAAGTGCTGCAGAAAGGTGATATTTTACTGGTAGGTTGACCAGTGATTTTTAAACAAATATCCCTGAAGATATAAGATATTTTGGTGGTTGACTCTGGCCAAATTCCAGGTGTCCACCAAAGCCACTCTGTCACTCTCCACAAATGGACAGGGAGAAGAAACCAAAGCCTAAGCTTCATGAGGTGAGATAACTACCAGAGAGATCAAGCATCAAATATTGCCACAGACAAAAGAGACTTAAATTTGTGATATTAACTGAATTTATTATTAACAAAAACAGAGCAGGATAATGAAAAGTAAAATGCATCTTAAAACCACCTTCCCTCCACTTTTCTTTTCTTCCCAGGCTCTACCTCCTCTTCCAGGGAGGCTCAGAGAGACAGGGAATGGGGCTATGATCAGTTCATCCCCTGAGGTTTCTCCTGCTCTTCAAGGAGAGGAGGCCTTCCCCTGCTCCAACATGGGGTCCCTCCCATGGGAGATTGTTCTCTATGAACTTCTCCAATCTGAGTCCATCCCGTGGGCAACAGCTCTCCATGAACTGCTCCAGTGTGGATTGCTCTTCCACAGGGTGCAGCAGTTCAGGCACAACTGCTCCAGTATGAGTTCTCCACAGGGTCACAAGTCCCACCACAAAACCTGCCCTACCATGGGCTCCTCTCTCCAAACATCCCTGTCACATCCCTGCTCCAGCACAGGCTTCCCAGCCTCATCTCAGGCAGCCACCTGCTCTGGCATGAGGATCCTGCACAGGCTGCAGGTGGGTCTCTGCATCCCCATGGTCCTCCATGGCCTGCAGGGGAATCTCTGCTCCAACACCTGGAGTGCCTCCTCCCACTCCTCCACTTGGTACCTTGCACAGATGTTGCTCTGCCCAAGAAAACATATATTTTTTCTTTCTTAAATATGTTATTAAAAAGACATTACTGTCCTTCATGATGGGCTCAGCCTTGGTCAGGAGCAGGTTGGCCCTGGGATAAGCTGGCATTGACTCTGCCAGACATGGGGGAAGCTTCTAGCAGCTTCTTACAGAAGTCACCCCTGTAGCACCCATCACCAAAATCTGGCCACACAAACCCAAAAAAGATATTAATTCACCAGAAACTACGTAAGTGCTTAAAGACCTTGGGTAGATAGTGGTTTTTGAATCCTATGTTTTTTTCCACTAGAATAGATTTTGATAGGTGGATGATTTAGACAAGAAGGTTTAAAAAAAATACTGCAGAGATGACAAGATTTAGAGATATTCTTAGATTCTAAAATTATCTTCAGAATATGCTTTAAGTGAACTACTGAACTTTCATTGTCAAATACTCCATTTTAGCATTGAGGAGTAAATCAAACTCTTCACCATCCTCTCTCCCCAGCAAGCATTTTTGCTGCTCATCAAAACAAATCTTATTGCAATACCCTACTGCAGAACTTAGCATCTGGCAAAATTATGTTACTAATTTATTTTGAAGAATATAACCCAACACAGAAGTGCAAACAGAGCAGATGACACTTGGCAAAATTCCAATTCAAATTCAAATTCCATTTATTTTCAAATTATATTAGCAGCAGAGTTTTGTGGAAAGATTTTTTAGTTAGTGTTCATTTGCTTGTTTTTTAAATTTTTTTAATTATTAGAATTTGGTTGTTCACTCAGGGGCTTTGTTGGATTGCCTTTTTTTCTTTTTTTTAGTTTTCCCTTGAGTTGTTTTGGGTTTGTTTTTACCAAAAAACAAACAAACAAAAAAGACTCTTTATTATTACAGTCATGCAAAAGGCGCAGAAATTGAAAATCTGTATGCTTGGGATCCCATCATGTTCTTGAAACCATCTGGAGTCCTTTGTGAGTAAAAGGTTGGGGTATGAGAACGGACACAGAACTCCTGAATTTTAGAATATAAAATAATCTAGAATGTTAGCAACAGAAGAAGGAAGACACTTGATTTTTTTAAAACAGCATAGTAAGAAAATTTTTTTTAAATATCAAGGTTTTTTTATAAATTAAGTTAGAAAACATTACACAATTGTTAACAATGCTAGATTGGCCTAAGTACCCTAAGTAGACTTCCAAAACCAATTTAAAAGTGAGAAGACACATATTGCATATTGAGATAGCTATCAATTTTAAGAGGTAGATGACAATATTAATCTATTAGCAGTACAACTTTTATGTAAATATTATTAGATATTGTCTGTGCAGTGCCCTATATTTGTAAGGGTGCAAGGAGAAGGAAAAACACTGCCTCTCATCTAAAAGCAACTGTATTCATCTAATTCTTTGGTCTACATCACCAGCTCTTCTGGAAATGCAGGTGGGGGGAATTTAAAGGATTAGTAAGGTAAGGAAAACAAATAAAATCAACCCTATTTGTGTACGTAGGCAGAACACACCATCCAGACTGCAGTGAGGGTGGCTGAGCTCACAGCACAATCCTCAGGACAGCTTGGCTACATTGAGTAGAAAAGGCAGAAGCCCTCACAGGCAGAAAAAGAAGCCTCAGAAGTCGTGCACAGTACTTCCATGATGCCAATTCAGACTCATTGCCTAATGTATCTATGAAGGTACTTCACTGCTGGAAAACCACCTCTATTCCTATTCACCCTGTCCATCAGATTTCTGGGTTACCATTAAGAGGAAAAAGCATTAAGTAATAGCAGCACTGATGGAAAGGCTTTGCCACAGTGATGATCCGAGTGTGTTCCTAACCTGCCAGCATCTGTAAAATGCTGGCTGTTACTAAAGACATCCATCTCAAAGTGTTAAAAGCACGGCTCAGTACAAAAATGGGATGACAATTTTTCTGTCCTTTGGATAGTCTTCAAATTTCTCAAGGTACCATCTGAAAAACAAAGAAAAATCTGATGAGTATTGAGTCTTCAAAACACTGCTGAGAAAATGAAAGAATTGTACAATGTGTTTAATTTAATCTATACATGTTTTTGTCTACAAAAAAAAAGCCTTTATAACCTACTCTGGATAGAAAAATGGCATTTACTGCACTCATCCTAATGATATCTAATCACCAAATATAACAAAACTAAGTTACAGCAGCCAGCAATGGGAAATCAAACCAACAGATGTGGTGAGATATGTCAGGGAAGGAATTCAAAATGTAGGGTGTTATACATACTGAGTATTTACATATTTTAAAATTAGAGGGAGAAAAAGTAAAATCAATTGTCCTTGCATAATGACTTCATGTGGAAGCAAGGGATACTTCACACACAGGAAGGAGAGTCTCATTCTGCATAGAAGCATCTTTGGCTTCAGTTAGAATTTGGGTAAACAAACTGAACATGATGAACATTGCACTTGCCTTATTGCTAACACCCCTCAAAGACCATCACTATTTTCAAATCCAGACAATTTAAAAAAATGCAGAGCACTATCAAATATTATTTGTGTTTTCACCTTTCATAACAAGCATGTTTACTCCTATTTTTGAATATTTACTCTGCTTCTCTGAAAGAAACGAACTAAATTCACCTGGGCTCCTCGAAAGTGCAGATATTCATAATAGCAATAGCTAACCAACTGTAAGATCAAAGCTGGAATAAACAGAACAAAACATGCAATGCATGATAGGTGCAACCTGCATCTAGGGAATACAATTATTACCCTATTTACCCATTTCAGTCACTTATTCTAAGTTTTTAAAATAAATGAACTACACTAACATGTATCTTCATTTACATGGATTTGCTATTTTTAGTTGCTTGGGTAATTTTTCCTGTACCCCTGTTCCATTTTCATGCATTTTTCCTTTAGTGTAAAAAACTTCCTTTAACAACATTTATCTTTTCTTGATGTTCTGAAAGAGTGCCATCAAGGCTTAAGACTGGTGGAAACCAACCATGGAATTTGAGCCTGAAGAAGGTAATACACAGGGAGAGGCAGGAGAACCTGTCCTTGCTTCATCTGCCAAGGAGGAGACACTCAGAAGTCAATTGGATGAGCCCTGGGCAACTGGGCAGAGCCTTGTGGTTTGCCACACACCAGTTGACTGGACAACCTTCCAATGCTCCTCCCAACTCAAGATACTCTGCAACTCTGCTCACTAATAGCAGGTGATAAAACAGGAAGAGACGGTCAAAGGCAACAGGTTTGGAAGGTCCAGGTTGGATAGTGGACGGAACTTGTTCACTGGGAGGGTATCACAGACCCAAACAAGGAACAGGAAAACCTCTTTCTGGAGGTTTTTAGCACTCCATTAGACATAGACATGGCTGCCCTCACAGATGGTCAGTATTTTTTTTCAACCCATTTCCTCCTTAAATTCATGTTTATTTTCTCTTATGCCACTAAGTTTCAACATGAGAACCAAAGCAGGAAGCTGAAAATATCCAAAATAAAATTAACATGCTCAAATTCATTTAAGCATGCTATTCCTTAATGAGAATCCTTTCAGGAAACAAGTCTCCCCAAACTATGGTCCTTCTTGTTAGCGGGAAAGCCACACTATAAATACAGTACATGAACAGTCAGAATGTTTAGAGCAGATAGTTCATTAAATGTCATCTATCAGAACTGTTTTCATAATGTCCATACAATTGATTATAGACAGTATGATACAGACATGACTATGAAGTGTGCCTGTTAAAGACAGCTTGGGTGATTTAAAAAAATTTATATATTAGAGAAACAAATTTGAGAAGGGATAGTATTTGATTAACTAAGACAATATTGCTAAACTTGCCTATAATTTTTACAGATCCAGGATGAACTATCTTCATTTAAACATTATTTTGACCACCTTGTTGTACTGTGTTTATGTTCTGTACTATTCTGCTGAAATTCTGCAGTACTTAGTTTTCTCAGAGTATTCTTTATCATATTCTACCCTACAGCAACATTCTCTTTCACAAGACTTGCTCTGCAACATCCCTGTAGGATGAGGCATAATTTGTGAAATGGAAATGCAGTGTGGCATAGAGACAACAGAACTGACAAGGCAGGAACACTTACTTGTGGTGTTGTCTTGCCCTTGAACTCAGGATGAAGAGAGTGCACAAGGCAAATGCAAAGCTTTCAATGGTGCAGCAGGCAAGGGCAAACCCAAACCATTCCAGGATCTCTCCAAAAAAGTTGGCTCCGCTGACATACTCAAACATTCCTCCTGGAAGCAGGACAGACTCAGTTCAAAATACCTTAGTCAGGATGTTCAATGTTACCTTTTCTGTACACCAAGTAGGAGCTATATCACCAATGTCTCTATTTGATTTTTAAAGGCAGTGGAAACAGCATTTTTCAGTTCAAGCTGCACTATGAAGGAACACTTCAGACCTCATTCTAAGACAGACCTTTTGTAGCTCCACTTTTCCTCTTTAAATAAAGAAAAAAAGATTTACTAGCATCAGAAGCAAGTAAATGCCTTTGTGAATAATTACTTAACGACATGTTCTTTGATTATACCCTAAAACTTTTTTAAAATACGTAGAAATAGAAGACATACTCCCCTTGAGCCCCAGAAAATACTCATAGGATTACTTAGCCTACAATTTCATTTATTTAAGTACTTTAGAATATAAGTTAATTATGAACAATACCATTAATTATGAACAATACTATTATTAAGTAAAGTTCCAAATTTGTTCTGTAGCTTACAGTTATTGCACTTTTGTTCCCATGCTTCATCAGATTTGCTGTTTCAGCCTCTATATGCAGTAAAAATTTGGCAGTCTGTGTTAAATCGATTGTATAGAGAATTGTGCATAAACAATTGGTACTCAGCTGCTGGGAATTTTATAAATCAAGAATTTCACCCTAATTCTAAAGTTGATGTACAAATGGATAACATCTCAGTGTGTGCTTTACCAGTGGGACTAAACAAACAAGTATTTGGCAAATGTAATAAAGAACATGCTTTGACCTTGCTCTCTAATTACACTACCTTTGTGACAAAAGAAAAGTGAAATTCTAGCACTTGAACTGGATAAGCAACATCAAAAAGACCAGCTACTCCTGATCTTACAGCAAATACCGTATTTCCTTCAGAACCTTTTTGTACACTGAACAGAGTATAATATGTTCATATTAATTTTTCACATGAGCACTTCCATTTACATCTATTAAAATTATAATTATTTTCATTTGGGTGAAAAATAACAATCTGCCTTATATATCTTAGTTCTTACAGTTTTATTTAAAAAAATTAACAACCAAGAAAAAGCAACAACTAAGAAAAAAAATGTAATGAGATAACAGAATTCAGAGGTATTGTCTTTCTGCTCTCAGTGAGTGTAATGTACCAAGAAGAGTGCCTGTTTCCAAAAGTGATAATAAACCTCAACACTTCAATATAGGCTCTATAAGAAAGCCTTTCATATTCTCCATTTCCCCACGAAGGCCAGAATTTACAATGCCAAATTCATTTGGATTTCTGTCCTCCTTTCCCTGTGTCTCCCTTTTCAAAATTGTTGCTGTTCTCCAATTACTTCAGGTACCTCCCTCTTATATTGGACATGAGATGGGTCACATGCTGAGTACTTTCTTCATTCCCCTGCTGCCCCCACACTGAGTGAATAATTTAGGTCTTTCTCCTCCACCCACCTGCTGATTCTCTGAAAAGTTGAGCAACGGAAAAAAAATGGGACATTTTTACCCCTTTTTAAAAATATAGCCAATGTTGGTCAAGAAACCCAAAGATTTGCACAAGCCAAGTGACATAATGAAACAGATTCCTTCCAATATTTGGCTTCAGAGGGAAAAGAATGTTTCCCAAACTATAAAATCACTTCCCATGGTAGAAAACAAAATGCTATTTCCAGTTGCCTCTTGTATCTTAAATTACTATCTCCTCTAAAATACACCAAGCTCTAGAAGACTATTCTCACACAGAATCATTTTAGATTGGAAGGGATCTCTTGAGATAATCTTGTTCAACCAGCACTGTTGAAGCAAGATCTGCCAGAACAGGTTGTCCAGGACTATGCCCAGTGTGGTTTTGAGTCTCCCTTCAATCTCTCTGAGCAACCTGCTCCACACCTGTGTGTTTGACCATCCTCCCAGCCAAAAAAAAAAAATAAAAAATTCAGATATAATTTTATGTGCTTGAATTTTGTGTCCACTGCCTCTGGTCCTGTCAATAGGCACCACTAAGGAGAGCCTGGTTCTCTTTTCTTCATAGTATATAAACTTTGGTAAGATCTCCCTGAGCCTTCTCTTCTCTAGTCTGAAAAGTCTAAGCTCTCTCCACCTCTTCTTATATGAGAGATACTTCTTTATGTTGTATTAATTTCTGTACCATTTTACTTACCTCTTGGTATCTTGTAACCAGTTTCCCCTGGTTTTCTCAGATTTCTGAGAATATGATCAGAATGAATATTGATGGCCATGCCAATCAACCATCCTAAAAAACCTGAAGAGAAATATTGAAAATACTATATTTAGTGCACTGTGTTTGTTCAGAAAACAAACTACAGTCCAATACCACATTAGGCATATTGTCTCAAAGCAGTAGTAATGTAAGCAGCATAAACAGCTCTGGTGACATCCTGCACAGTCCCAGCCCCACACTGTGCTCTTCAATCAGCAGAGCTCACAGTATCAACAGCTCCCTAGACAGGAAACAGCACTTCAAAAATGAAGTTTATTCTTATGTTGCTAGACTTATATAAATGTATTTACGTGCATATATATGCAGATGTAACGTATACGTTTCCCTAACTTTGACATAGAAAAATATGCTAAGATTTTACACACTGAAGGAAACAGCCATTTTTAATCTTCCCAGAGGGACACATCTTAGCCCCACTCTCCTTTGACTATGTTACTGATAGCACATCAGAATTTCCCCAACAGATTTCTGTGCAATAAAAGGAATACAATTGTGAAGGAATTAACGGGCCATTTAATCATTCAGCAAAATGGTTTAGCCATTTATTACAGGCTTTCACAGAAACTGAGATTGTTGTCACACTCTACATCCTTATGTTGCCATGAGGGTGGGATAAATCAAAAGGAATTTAGGATTGGAATCCATTATTTTTATCCCTTGGCAACATGTTACCTATGTTATCTTCCCTTGAAGGCAGCATTCCCTGCTGACAAGGAATGGATAAGATCTGTGTTTTGAGGTTAACCAGTGCCTCATCTCAGATTCTGTGATTAGTCTTCCTAACAAGACACAATCATCTGGAGCATCCAGATACCTATGAATATTAGGAGAGACACTGGCAACCACATCCCTTGCCTGCAAGATTATACCCAGATATGGACAATGCATACACGCTCTTCAGGTTTGATGTGCAACGAGAGCAGAGGTGACACGTGTGCTTAGTTGCCTGGTGGCCAGATAAAAAGCTTCATGCAGCAGTTGAGGAGCTGATGTTCTGTAACCTGCACCTTGTAAGTTACAGGTGCTGTTCTGCTTTGCAGAACTGCTACTAAAGAAGTGTTTTGATGCACAAAAGAGTTAGCCATGAACATTCAAAGGAAGTAGTTGAATAGGGACTTAAAGGAGTAAGAAAAGACACGGCATACTGCAAAGGGTTTGAAGAAGCTAAAGCAAGCAAAGGAAGAAAGGAGTTTCCAACTACAAGTGCAGACAGATTAGGAAAGGACACAAGGGTGAGGCACAGAGGTGTTGGTGTCCTGTTTATAGCAGCCACCACTTCACAGTTTCACCAACTCTCTTGGTAAACTCACAAGCTCTTAATTGGCACTCAGGTGCAAGATTCATGCTGAAAGATTATGACGTTCTTGGTTTGCAAGTTTATGGTTCTGCATTTGAAGCAGAACATTCCTGTTTCTCTGAAAACACACAAGTTCACTGCTCTGAACTAAACCAACACACAGTCCAGAGAAACCATGAGGAAATCACATCAAAACCATATTCCTGCTCGAAATCAATTACTGCTGTAGATATAAGTTATTGTGGTCCTTAAAACAGACAAACTATATAAAAGAGTTCCACAGTGAGAGGTTACACAGCCCACTAGTCTGCCTTTGACTGATGAGGCAAAACATTCTGGTTTATCTTCAGATGAAAATGATCTTCCTATAAAGATTTCATTAGGAAATTGTACTATCATTTTGACAGCAAGCAAAAGTAGATGTCTAGGAAACAAAAAAATTGAATAAATAAATTACTTTGTCACTAAATACCTTAGTCTTTTAATCATATCCTTCAAGTATAAATGTAACCTCACTTCCCCACTGGGAGTGAATGATCAACCCCTCCACCCCTTCCTTGTGTGGCCAGTTTTGTCATTTGACAAAGCCACCCCCCAATTACAAGGGGAGCTGGATTGGTGTCTGTGTGTGTATCCAATATAGATATCCTGACACCAAGGACTTGCAGCATTTGCCATGGCATTATGAACAGTAGTTAGCAGCTACCCTTGCTAGATTTTTTTACTCCGTGATTTTGTTACTTTAGTTTAATCTACATGTTAGACAGAAAAGCTTTGCTTCTTCTAAACCTGCATGCTGCTGGTTCCATGTAGGGCTTCAAGGTTCTATATGAAAAAAAAAAATACCTGACCTGGATTTACTTGGCTGTTAGAGAGTAAAGACGACAATCAGATCATCTAGCACTGCAGAAAGAAGTGTCAGTTCAAAGGCTAAAAAAGGTAAAAAGGCCTCCAGCTACACCAATGAGAAAACTATGAGAAGACTTATAAAATGGCATTGAAGATACCATAAAATCACAATAAAAAATTAAGAGCTATGAAGACAGAGGAAAATGACACCTGATGTTCTCATGGCATGATTTAACTCACCTGTAATGAAGCGTGAGCCACCCAGCCAGCCTGCAGGGTAAGTTGCATAGGTGGTTAAGCTTCGGCCCTGCAAGTACCCGTTGAAAGCACAGAACAGAAGCGCTAACACAAAAGTGAAAAACGGCGTTGGTTTTCCTTCTCGGATCAGAAGGGGAAAGATGAGTGCCCTATAGCAAACAAAGAAAAGAAAATTTATTGTATTAACCACAAAAATGATAGTTTTGAAGTCCAAACATTGTGCACACTACCCTACTTTACAAATTCTCAGCACCAGCCCTTGGTGTCTGAAAGGATAGCTGCACTTGCTTTAATATCTAAAACATTCTTTTTTTTTTTTTTGCCTAGTTGGAATTACAAAACCAGTCCTCTCTACTGTATGGCAGAAATTTTGAACTTTGCATCCAAAGCAATTACTTTGGTGAGAGGAATAAAGACAACTGATATTAAGCACAGTCCATTTTTGTCCCTAAACCCTCAGTTGTATCATCAAGCTTTCTGAGATGAGCTAGGAAACAAGACCCCTCCACTAAATTCCCCCAGCATTTCCAGGAGGAAAGTCAATCCCCTTTAAATTAACCTAATTGACCTCAGTTTCCTCCCTATCCTGTAAGCCAAAACATTAATTGCTTCACCTTGACAGTCTTGGTCTACTCTATGACACCTCTAAAGATGTGACAAACCCTCAATTGCCATCCCATTTGGGAAAGGAATCTTGATTGCTTTTCCTGGGGGATTATGCAAGTAAACAAACTAGCTCCAAACAAGAAGAGCAGGTGAATACTCTTGTGCTCTTTCTTGTGGTACTAGCCAACTCCCAATTGTCTATTGATTTAATTATGATCTATACTGATATAGAAGCAGGATCACTGAAGCCTGAGCATTCTTCATGTGTTTTCCACCTACCCAAGGACAACTGCTTCAAAATAACCTTTCCAAAGGAAGTCCAACGCTAACAGCTTTCAAGAAAGAGTAATAAATTCACTACAGGATTATTTAAAGCATGCAATGCCACAAGAAACAGAACTAGATAACAGAGGTCTCTTCCAGTCTACACATACCTACACAAGAGTCCCTTGGGTTTGGCAATAGCAACAAGCAAGTGGAAAAAAAGACACTGCAGCACAGCTCACCTTTTTGTACAAATCATTGCCTCACATTCCTAGTTATTCCCAGACATCAAGGATGAGTTGAGATCCCATGTAAAAACTAATGTCTTTACGCTTAAGAATAGAAAAAGGGGGAGCAAAGACACAATTGCAGGTTTTCAAAGGCAGCCTCCAGGCCAACCATATGTCACATACCTCCCCACAACAAGGCTGTGGAACACACTTGGTCAAAAGCAAGAGCTTCTCTCAATAGGTACCAGAAAATAACTTATCAGCCAAACAAGGGGCTTAAAATAAACCTGACAAGCCTAACCCTCCTGCCTTGGCAGCAAATTTACTCGTGGAGTACGACAAGTAGCTACTGTCCATAACTTGAAGGGAACAGCAAGATCACACCTGGGCTCCAACTAAGCTGCCTTCTCCAAGTATTTTTACAAAATGCCTGAATACTCTTGACTACCTGGCAACATAGGGCACTCAGCCCCAGCCTTGCCAGTATTTTAATGAATCATTGAATACACTGAGCTAGAGGAAACATACAAGGCTCATCCAGTCCAACTCCTGCAACGAACGCTATGTTGAAAGACAATGTTGAACAATATAATTAGAAAATAGCTATTGTTTAGCAACATCAAGATTATATCAGAACAAGGTGCTGAACTTTCCCGGTTGTAACACAGTGACCTTAAGACAGCCTGCTCAATCCACTGCTGAAGCGGGAGGCACAGCAGCAGCAGCAGCAGCACAGGGATGGAGCGGGGCGCTTAGGGAGCGCCAAGAGCATCGCCGGAGCATCGCAGCGCACAGCGCGCACAAGGCAGCCAGCACCGCATGGCCACGGCAATTCGCCGGGCTGCCGTAACAATGCAGGGCACATCGCAGTGTAGCGAAGCAGAAGAGACATGAGTAACTATTACATTAAATAACAAAAGCTAATTAACAGAACCTCAACCCCTTCGGTCAGGAAGCAGCAGCCAGGTATCTCTATGAAGACCGAGCCCTTCCCCTGCCCCCAGCACGCAGGGAGCCCCCGCCATCCGCCCCAGCCCCGCCCGCGCCGCCGCACCTGTGCGCGTAGTGCAGGAGGAAGCAGCCCAGCAGGACGCGGTTGGGCCGGGCGGCCGCGACCGCCCCGCCGCAGACGGCGAGCCCAAGCGGGACGAGGAGCGAGGGCAGCTCCTGCACCACCCAGGCGGGGCGGGCGGGCAGCAGCCAGCCGAAGCGCCGCGAGGAGTACCGGCCGTAGGGCATGGGGATGAAGCGGAGCAGCAGGGAGGAGACGGCGCCCAGCGCCATCAGCCCGTAGGAGAAGAGCTCCAGCAGCCGCCGCTCCTCGGGGCCCTCGGCCCAGCGCCACAGCGCGCACACACCAGCATCGCCGGCAGAGCCCATCGCGCTCCGCCGCCTCGGTTCATCGGGCACCGCCAGTGGCCGCCGGGGGCGTGCCCGCCGCGCCGCCCCGCCCCCGCCCGCCCGTTGTGGGTGGGGCCGGGCCGGGCCGGGCCGGGCCGGGCGCTCGGGAAGTTCCGCCGGGAAGCGGCGCCGGGAGAAGGCGGGCCCGCGCGTGCGCGCCGGGAGCACGCGGCCACCGCGCGGTCCCTCCGGCCGGCCGGGAGCGGGAGCGGCCGCTCTTCCTGACGGCGGGGCTGGTGGCGCGGCTCGGCCGCCGCCTGGCTGCCATGGGCCGCAGGGCGCGGGACCGCCGGCGGCAGCAGCAGCAGCAGCGGCAGGAGCGGCAGGAGCGGGGTGGCGGCGGAGGGGACCAGGCGGTGAGAGCCGGGCCGGGGGAGGTGAAGCGGGGCGGGAGCGCCGGGGCCGCCGGGCTGACGGCGGCGATGCTTTTCTTCAGGGCTGGGCCGGCGGCTACCCCGAGATCGTGAAGGAGAACGAGCTGTTCGAGCGGTACTACCGGGAGCTGGGCATCGTGCCCGCCGGAGAGTGGGACGCGTTCATGGCGGCGCTGCGGGAGCCGCTGCCCGCCACGCTGCGCATCACCGGCTACCGCAGGTACGGCTGGCGCTCCCGGAGCCGCCGGCACACGAGGACGTGTCCCAGCCGCGGCAGGGCGTGGAACTGCGCCGGCCTTAGGGCTCCTTCCAGCCCGGACAGTGCTGTGATTCTGTGATTCTCCATCCGGTGTCCCTCCCGTGTCTCTCCATGCAGCCACGCCAGGGAGATTCTCCACTGCTTGAAGGAAAAGTACTTCCGAGAGCTGCAGGACCTAGAGGTGGACGGCCAAAAGGTCGAGATGCCGCAGTCGCTGAGCTGGTGAGTGATCTGGAGGCGAGATTAGACATTCTGCATGCTCCCATCAACCAGCCTGGCTCATCCGTCTAGTTCTTCTGCCTCTGTTCTTTTCCCATCTCTTTTCCACCAGGTATCCTGAAGAATTAGCCTGGCACACTAACTTGAGTAGAAAAATCTTACGCAAGTCCCCACAACTGGAAAAGTTTCATCAGTTTCTGGTTAGCGAGACAGAATGTGTAAGTTTTGGATAGATCTTGATTTTTTTCTGGCATATTGTGAGCAATGTTTTATTGAAATACATCATGAAAGATGGAGACTCTCTTTTTTCTCTCAGAATTTGAATAGCTCAGAAGAATCTGAATTTTGTGGTGCAGTTGGCAGTGGTGCATCCAATGATTCTGGTGCATAACTGCAGCTACAAATATTTGCCTAAACTAATTGCATTTTTTTGCTGTTGTTGGGGATGTTAAAATGAGTCCCTGTAAAATGATCAGTTGCTGTTAGAAACCATATGTTTAAACCCAGTAGAAAGTGCATGCATGGGCATGACAGCACTTAAGTGATGGATGTTTGTCACTTGATTCGAGCCAGTTTCTCTTTTTTGAGCAGAAACTGCAGAATTAATACAATTGGAGCAAATACGCAATTATTAGAAATTACAGTTGAGTGAGATACTGTGATTTTTTTTTTCATTTGTTAAATTCTAGCAGAATTTACTCCTAAGTTTATAGTTTGTTATTTTAATACACAACAATTTGAAAGCTTTATTGCAGAAGAAATGCATCCTTTCATGGAATAAAAACAAATTGAATTTCTGTTTTCCTTTCAAGGGAAACATCAGTCGTCAGGAGGCTGTTAGTATGATCCCACCTCTGCTGCTTAATGTTAGCCCTCATCATAAGGTAAGTCTAGAATATAATGTGTGCTAAAGTTTGTTCCCTGAAATTAGCTTAACTGAGCTACAAATCACAAGAGCAGTGTCAGGGCTGATACTCGGTTCTGTTTTGTGTTGGTACATTTTATGCTTTCTGCACATCATCAGCAACACTCAACTAATGTTCAGATCACAAAAACACTATCAGAGGAGCATCTCCTTTTTCAGCTGTGTGTAATACCCTGAAAGAGGCGCTTAGATTTTAGGCAGTTGCATAGTCTTATTGTCAAAGTGTAAGTGTGTTTAGCTGCATTTGAGTTATGTACTCTTGTTACAACCTGCTTTTAAAGTAAGCTGACTGTTTTTAACTTCCTCTTTCTATCACACTGTGAACAGATGTAGTTTTCAAGATGCAAGTAATAATACTCCCTGCCTCATAGATTTCACTCCTCTATGCCTTTTGCAGGAGCTGAAAAATTCTGCTCTATAAATAATCTGTGAGATGAAATATTTTGGGTTGAGCTGAAACATGCTGTTGGTGGTGGCTAAACACTATAGGGTGCTAACTTTAACTGTAGTGTGTAAGGAATGCCCATGGTATTTTCTTAGGGCATGCCATAGGAGTGAGGATATCTGGTGGCAAACTTTCTGCTCTAACTTGGTGATGTTTTCATACTCTGTGCTTGTTAGCAGACTGAATCTGTCAGGCAGCCTCACTCTTAATCTGTTAAATTAATGAGCTAGTTGCCTTGCCATCTTAAGCAGCCATGCTGTGTTCTTCTTTCTTAAATTTTCATGCTGTATCTTAAATTTTTATGTTTATCAGACTTCTAACATGTGTTTTAAAGGCTAGTTTGTACACAATTGTTTTTATATCAGCTGTACTTAGCATCTGTAACTTTTCACCTTTTTCCTCCTACTTTTCACCCCAGCCCAGTGTATGACAGCTATGGCTGTTTTATGTGAGGCAAGATCTATTCATCTCTTTTAAGTGAATAGTAAATTGAAATCTCGGTCCTGATGTGTCCCAGGTGTATTTTTATTTCTGTCTGGGATTGAACAGGTGGTGAACACATTCATCTTAATGTAAAACACAAATTGTGGGCATATTTTTGCACACATCTTACATTGTATATGATAAGCTAGCAGTATAAAGGCTTTATGTTGAATGTTTAATTTGGGTGAGTGTTGCAGTGTTTTCCAAAAACGCATGTAAGATTTCATAAATCAGGCTAAGAATAGGTTTTTGTCTTCTCTTGTGCCAAAACAGCAAATGTTTAATGATATAATGATGCCCTGACTTTTCTTTTAGGGCCTTTCATGGTCCTTAGTGCCTTAGTTTAGGAGCTGCTTGTTTGGACCAGAATTGCAGAATTTCCTTAGCTAGCATGTTCTGTATGTCACGTCTAACATGCTGATTCAGTCTTCCACAAGGATAAAATTAATTTCCATTTAATTTTTAATCTATTTTTCCCATTTAATTTTCCCCCACCATCAGTTTACTGGACAGTTTTAGAGTATGTTTAGTTTTAGAGTATATTTAGCCTTGTATATTCTTCATCATTTTTTGTACTTTGCTTTTTTCTAATTGGTGTTCAGAACAGTCATAATTCTACATATTCAAAAATACTTAATTTAAACAAGAACATAGTAAATTTCTCAAGTACTGAAAAAGTACAAGGCAGGAATTTTAAAAATTTTCTTATATTTGTAGATTCTAGATATGTGTGCTGCTCCTGGATCTAAGACTGCACAGCTCATTGAAATGTTGCATGCAGACATGAATGTTCCCTTTCCCAGTAAGTCTGGAAAACTAAAGACTTGTGACTTGAAATTTCTGCTTTTTCTTGTAGTAGATTGTTTTTAATGTCACAGATGAGTAACTGCATTTTACTACATACTGAATTCCCCTAGGGGTTGTTATGAGATTAAAAGTGCACGTTTGGAACTTCATGGACTTCCTTTGCTTGAAAAACAGACATGAATTATATGTATCTTTTCAGTTCAAATTACACTACATGTGATTAGAGCTTAATTTCTGTACATAAATCAGGTTTACTTAGTAGATTGCAGCCCATGAGCCTCTGTGCTTTTGTGGTACTCTGCAAACACTGGATTAAGCTGCTTTAGACTTAAAGAAATCATGATATTTATCATTTTTGTAAACTGCAGTGTCTTTATTTTTGTTTAGATGCTCACAGAAGATACTGCCCCCTGACACTGTAAAGTTGTAGAGAATGTATGAATTCTTTCTTCATTGTACTGAGAATTTGCTGATGTAGAAGTTTTCTTTGGTGGCAGTGGGGTTTTTTTTCTGTTTAGAGGTTTTCATTTGAAAAGTTGAAGGACCCTTGCCTGTGTCTTGCTGCCACAGGATGGGAGCTAAAACTCTTAAGACTGACACATCAGTTAACCTTCAATTTGCTTTAAGTTATTTTATGCTCAGTAAGGGCTCCCCTGTTCATGAGCAGTCTTTTAAGTAAAAATCTCTAGTGAAAGGTTTACAGAACTCTCAGAGATAGGGTAATAAACTATGTAAAATTATTTATCTGTTGAATAGTAAAGCATTTTCCCACTGTTTTATGTTCCCAGGTGGTTTTGTAATTGCCAATGATGTTGACAACAAGCGCTGCTATTTGCTGGTTCATCAGGCTAAGAGATTAAACAGTCCATGCATCATGGTGGTAAATCATGATGCCTCCAGCATTCCTAACCTTCAAATAGACATTGATGGAAGAAAAGAGATCCTCTTCTATGACAGGATTTTATGTGATGTCCCCTGCAGGTACCTTGCATGTGAACTTGAATACATGGATTTTACTGCTTTAGGTGTAGTGATAAATTTTTTATGTTACTGAATTGTGCCTTTTGAGTAGATTAGTGAGTTAGGATGTATAGTTTGGAATGCTTTTTAAGTGTGGGGATACAGAATTGAGGTGAATTTTTTCATTCCAAGTGGTCCTTAAATTTGACCAGTTGAAGGGCTTCAAATTTTGACCTTATGTTCAGGACACTGAAATACAAAGGCAGTGAGGAAACAAAACAGAACAGTGTAGGAGAACGAGTTACAAGGGAGAGGGATTGCTGTTGTTGTGCTACTGCAAATGACTTTGATATGGAGTCTTACACACAAGTAATACAAATCTGTTTGACCTCTGTTGCAGTGGAGATGGAACCATGAGGAAAAACATTGATGTATGGAAGAAGTGGACAACACAAAACAGTTTGCAGCTCCATGGGTAAAAATGCTTATTGCACATCTGCACTTCTTTCATTTTTCTCTCCTTTTTCTATATCTTTAACATCTGCATATATTCACATGTTAA